CCCCCTTTCCCAATTAATACGAACATGAATCTGATTTGAATACTAACCATCACTTTTACACTTTAATAGTTTAATCACGAATATTGATTCAATATTTTTTTAATTTTACAGGATTCACAGTTGTAAATAGAGGATGTTGTGGCACCGGAAACTTAGAGGTTTCTTTTCTTTGTACAAGATTGGATCCAGGGACTTGCAAAAATGCCTCAAAATTTATATTCTGGGATAGTTTTCACCCAACTGAGGCTGCTTACAAAGTCATAGTCCATGAGGTCGTCCAAAAAAGCATAGACAATTTCTTTTAGATTTTTATTTCATAAATTAAAAAAAAAAAAAAAGTGTACAAATTTGATTGGAATTCCTCATACAAAGGTGGGAAAAAAAATATCTTCTATTCATGATATACAAATTGTATTATTTATTAGGATTCATATAGAAAATTCAACAAAAAGTTTCTATTGTATTTAACTTTATTGTTTGCAACAAAATTCTGTCCCATATTTTATGTTCTCTTTAGTGTCACTTGTAGTAATTAGAACCTTTCAAAGTTTCAATAATATGTTATTTTTAAACTTTCCAAAAAAGTGGCAAGATTTTTAGTTTTAGCTCGAACTAGTACAAAATATTAGACTCCACAAATATGGCACATACAAAATGGGACGAAATTGGTGGACTTGATTGGTTGTGATCTAGATCGAGAGTGTCATGGAGTGTAAAGTATTTGAACTAATTGAACTACTAAAAAATTCTTCATCAAGATTCAAATAGAAAATTCAACAAATTGTTTGTAATGTATTTCACATAATCTATATCTATACTTAGTATTTAAAAACACAAACCACAATTTTTTTTATATGACACATGGCATCATAAGTCACTCAATACCCCATATAACACATGTCACCTCCCTTAATATTTATATTCAAGTAAGAAAATGAAGTGTTCCAATTCCACCATAATAAAATAAAGTTCAATTAATTAGTACGGAGTACTTATTACATAAACATATGAATTATAATAAAAATAATCTTTTCATTTCCTACACTTTAAATATAATTTAAACTAATATATCTTTTCATATTTCACAATCTTCATGTATATATATCTAAATAAATTCATTCATCTTCTTTCACAGTTTTACCACCCTCGGTCTTATTTTTCCTTTAAGTTTTAGAAATAAAGCAATTATTTCATATAATTAACCCCAAGTAATAACCCGTGCATTGAACGGGCCAAAAAAGCTAGTTTATTTGATTTACAGTAATTAATTGTTAGCAATAAAATACTTTGTCCCAATTTTTGTACTCTTTAATTAAGGAAAAATTGTTAGGAACTACATGCTTAATAGGGGTATTTGGAAACAACTACCCACTAAAAAAATTTATCAAAAAAACTACCCCCTAAATTTAAAAAAATTAAAGTAGCACTACCCGTTTGCATTTTCCGGCGAGATCGTCCGGCGTGTGGGGCCCACTTTTTCAATTTTTCTTCTAAAAATTCCTAATAGAAGAAGTGAAAACAAGTAGGGTATGAAATTCATAGATAATTCTTCTCTTTTAATCCATTAATTATGAATTTTGATGTTAGGGTGTAACAATTAGAAAAATTAGGGTTCTTAGAAATTTGGGATAATTTGAAATTGGTTGAATTTGTTGCTTTTAATTCAAATTGGTTATCTTAGGGTTACGAATTAAGGTCCAATTTGTCATTGAATTGTGTCTTTTAAGAGAAAAATTGAAAAAGTGGGCCCATGCGCCAAACATTCTTGCTGGAAAATGCAAATGGGTAGTGCTACTCTAACTTTTTAAATTTAGGGGTAGTTTTTTTGATAAATTTTTTTAGTGGGTAGTTGTTTCCAAATACCCCTATTAAGTGTGTAGTTCCTGACAAATTTTCCCTTTAATTAATGTCACTTGTTTTGATCGGTACGTTTCATTTTACTTTTAATCTCTCAATAAGTAGTACGGTTTTAATTTAAATTTATACCAATGTAAAATACTCCACAAAAAAGGTACATAATACAAAATTAGATGAAATTGTTGGAATCAATTTGTTTTGAGCTAGATTGTCAGGTATATTAACCCAAAATGTGTATTATTGTTACTTAGTATTTTATTTTAAGGACTAGATCTAAGGGTGAATTTACATACTTTTTGCGGCTATGCATGGAAGTCTAGAAGATCGAGTTAACATCAAGAAAATACAAGTTGATATCTCAGATCAACAAAACTTGTATTTGTAGATCAATAAGTTGGCATTAGATACTATTGTATCTTCAATTGACTTCAATTATTCATAGATTTTAGTGTCATAAATTTTATCATTATTGCATAGGGCCAACAAAGTACAATATGAAATTTCGGTTGAAATGACAAATCTTTACCATCTAGCACAAGCTGGAAAAAAAATAAAAAATCATTCAAACACAAAAGGCTAGCATTATACTACTTTTAGTTGACACATTTCTTTTATCACGCATGTTAACGCACTATTTTAACAATTAATATTTGATAGAGTATAAAACATATTCCTGGGCCTCAACCATTAGCTTAAGCTTTTGGTTCAGATGGTCCTATAACCTGGTATCGAAGCCAACGTAATACAAAGGTCACGAGTTCAAATCTCATCTGCCCCTTATAAGTTTTTTTTTATAATTCAAAAACTTTAATTAAGACTAAACCTCACTTTCAATTATAGCTTTCATACTTCATGATCCAATTAAGGACAATTATAGATCAGTTGAGTAATTTCATTAACGTACGTACAGAGCAATAAATGATACATACGTATAGGTTGAATCAACTATACATGTGTGTCTTCTAAAAAAAAAAAAAAAAAAAAAAAAAAAAAAAAAAAAAAAAAAAAAACTAGTATGTCTTTAAACTACTTGATGAGTCAAGCTGGACTGTACTAATTAACAATTAACCGAAAATTATTGATATTTCATGAAATAGTACAAGCTTATTAAAGGCATTTGAAAACTTTAATAAGTCAAATAATTTCCATACATGAAGGTCAAAGCTACAACTAGCAGAATCAGCTAAGCACCAGTAATAAATGCATGAAATTAAAAGCCAAATCATTCACAATATTATGTAGATGTAACTCAAGTGCCAAGTCATTGCAAACTTAAATAATGTGAAAAGGATATTTAACTTCTAAAAATTTCGTCATTTTCCAGCCATGCATTAATTTAATGAAATCCAGCCCAAAATCACAGATGAAGTGTTGCAATTACGAAAATGAACCCTAGCTAAAATGCCCATTATCATGACAGATAAAGTGTTGCAATTACGAAAATGAACCCTAGCTAAAATGCATTATATTCAACTAATGTAATATATTAACCCACAATTTTCTTCTCAAAGTAATAGGGAGATCTTAATATCTTATGGAAGTAAAATCTAAAATGCATTATAATTTTTCTCAACATGGTCAACTGGCCTTTTATATAAAACAAAACCTGTAAAAGTATTACATATAATTAGACATTAATGGAATACATACGTGCACTCCATTCAATTCTGGGACAGTTGATTTCGAACTCTATCATTCTTCGATGAAATAAAAAAAATTACACCATATAATATAAAGCTTGATTAAATTAGTTGTGATAAGAAAACCTACAAAGTATAGTTTCCCAACTTTTTACCATAATTCTTACTTATGAATTGTATAAAAGTACTAGAAAGACATTAATAATGGGAAGTAGACAATAAAGCCATAAAGGCAATAATGTAGTATAGTAGGCATCAAGGCCCGATGAAGTTTACATTCGTCATTCTATTATTCATTTGTATGAATAATATTACGGTCCACCAATATTAAAAAAAAAAAATCAAAATAATTACATAAATGTTGGGCACATAGAGCACAATTCCTAATTAAGTACTTGTTGAATTCAATTTAATAGCCGCTTCACGTTTTTTGAATGGAAATCTAATAAATAATATATATTTAAAGGGGAGTTTTTCTCAAGTTTTTAGATAGCCACGTAAGATTTAATTTTCTTAGCGCGCTAGGATTATAAATTTAAGTAGTAGCTAATTAAATAAGAGATTATTAATTTCTTTTACAATTAAATAATTCAAATGCCACGTAAGCAAAATTAGCGAATGAGATTTTAAAGTTTAATTAATTAAATACAAAATATTATCTTTTGATATTATGAATTTTAACTAATATTCTAAAACTAATATAATAATAATTTTAATCACATAAATATGAAAAATATTTTTTTTAAAAAAAAAATACTAAACTAACCGTGCATCGCACGGACTTCATCTAGTTTGCTTTAATTTGGTATTCCATAATACTTAGCCTTTTCTTTTTCTCTTTGTTAAATGAATAAAAAAAACCAAAGTAATTAGTATATTTGGTAAAAGGAACAAAATGTTATCTTTTGTTTTATTTATATATTTTAATTTTTTTACTACCTCAACTACATATTATTGCAACAAATGAGTTTGCATGGACTCTTAGGCAAAATTTATCTAGTATATATTAAATGGAGATAAAAAAAAATAAAAAAAATAAAAGCTAAAATTGCATATGATAATGAGAGAGATTACGAGAAATAACAACTTAGGGCCTATTTCTGGTTTATTGAACTGAACTGAATAGAGCTCAACTGAATTATTGATGAGAAGGAAATTAAGAGTGAACTGAACTGAAATTAAGATAAAGAGAATAGACCCTAAGTTAGAATGGAGAAACATCCATTTTCGACAAATGTTTCAAAATGAATAATATGAAATAGAAGTATTTATTTTGTATCCTCCATCACATAATATAGTATATATTTAATTAATTATGCATTTTATACGGTGTCAAGATATGTTTTGACCATTAATATCTTTAATTTCACATAAAGAAAAATTATAAAAAGTTGATATTATAAAACTATGTATAAAGAAATATCCAACAATATATAGCTATTATTTTTTTTGGTATCTATTAATTAATGAGATCGAATTTGTGGTCAATAAAGTTTTAGAAATTTTTTTTTTGGTATCACAAGGAATGTGAGGACTGAGGAGTATAAGATAAACTCTTCACGTACATTGTATATACACGTGCATGTGTGACACATTAATGGATACAAACAAAAGGAGACTAGTATAGAGAGAGAAACCAAACCAAAGATGATAATCATGGGAAATGATAAATTCATATCTTATAAAACAATCATCAATACAATAGTGATTTATAATATAATAATTATAGCAACATTTATGCAAAATTATGTAAATGCCATAGAAGTTCCACAAAAAGGAAAAGTGCCAGCATTTTTAGTGTTTGGAGATTCAATTGTTGATCCAGGAAATAATAATTACTTGGCTACTTCTGGAAGAGCAAATTTCCCACCTTATGGGAGAGACTTTCCTGGAGGTGTAGCTACTGGAAGATTCAGTAATGGCAAAGTTCCTTCTGATTTCATTGGTAAGTTGAATTGATCAGCTTTTACTTAGATCTTCTCCTCCTTGTTTTTCTCTTCTTGCCGGGTTTGTATTTGTACGGAATGTTCTTTCTAACGCGCGTCCATGGATAGTTATTTGAGAGCAAATACAAACAAAATAAACGTTAACCTAGCTAGTGGCATTGTTGTAAATAAACCAACAAATTTTTATTGTGGGTCCACTGATACTGATTTTGCATGTCACGCTGACTGAGATTTTATGTTGATTTATTTACAAAAGTGTTACTAGATAAACGTTTCTGTTTATCACAAATATAAATTAGAGCTTCCTTGTTTTTGATTTCCTAATTGACTTGACTTATTCATAACATGCATATCACCTTAAAATCGAATATTTACCTTATTATTCTTTGTTCCATTGGGTGTGTTCTTTCACTTATCTGAACTTATCAAAACTTATTTTAGTTCTTATTTTTTCTAAAGTGAACTTAACTGAACTTTATTAGCTAGATCAGAAATAAGTGAAAATAAGGTAAACAGAACCAACCTAATTGATAATCCCTTAACTTGTGGTTTACGAAAAAAAATTGATAATACCTTGTTCTATTTGTTATCTAGTACAAAATGAGTAGTATATATGTATACTTGTACATAGCAATTAAACTCAATTTGTTTCTTGTAGCTGAAGAGCTTGGAATAAAAGAGTTTGTGCCTCCGTATTTGGATCCAAAGCTCAATATCAGTGACCTACTTACTGGTGTCAGCTTCGCCTTTGGTGCTGCTGGTTACGATCCTACATCTGCAAAATTAGCGGTCTCTATTCACCTCCTCCCCCTCTTAAGAATTCACTTATCATAGAAACATAACTTTCTTAGCTTTGTGTGACTTGATTTTTTGTTTATTATGACTCCATTGTCCATTTGTCTTTTTTATGTTTTACAAAACACATACATCCAGCTTTACCAATTGGATGTTGGCCTAGTGGGGATTGGGACTATACTTGGTAGGAAGAACCTGTGTTCGATCCCCCGCAACAATAATTGGGAGGAGATTAATTGGAACCTAACCACCCATATATAACTGATCCCCAAATCCGGATTAGCCCAAAGGGTGAACCTCCCAAAAAAAAAAATACAGCTTTGGATTTCAATTTTTAGTGGTTAGTTGTTAAGTGTTATCACATGTACACTAATATGATTGTTTTGATCGAGTGCAGAACGTATTGACATTAGAAGATCAGTTGAACTTGTTTAAAGGGTATATAAAGAAGCTCAAGGATGCAGTTGGAGAAAACACAACATCGACTATCATATCCGAAAGTGTATACCTAGTTTGTGCAGGAAGCAATGACATTACCAACACTTATTTCTCTTTACCATTTGAAATACTTCATTACGATATCTCAACATATACTAGTATGATGCTCAAATGGGCATCCTCTTTTTTACAGGTAGCTACACTGTATTATAGTCTAATTATCTCAACTCTAGCTTATACTCCATAAAAAAAAAGGAGGAAGTAGTTGATTTAGTACAATAGTTGATTTATTTACATTTTTGTTATTTGATCAACATATTTTGTTTATCAAAGAGATAAACTTGTATTTTCTCTCTTTTTTTTTTCTTTTTTTTTTTTTTTTTATGAACTTAATGACAAAAATATAGTATTGCAGTACAAACAATGAAATAAGTTCACTAAAAACTACTCAGAGGAAATAGACTAGTCAACTAAAGTTCTTATATATATATATATATATATATATATATATATATATATATATATATATATATATATATATATATATATATATATATATATATATATATATATATATACGAGTACTCCATAATTTAATAAACCATTGAATTTATTTATGCATAAGATGTGGGTCACATTGGTACCTTAGCTTGAGGCAAGGTACGGTCCTTCAAGCCAGAGTCATAGGCCACTCCTCTTCGAGCTCTTATTCCATAGAATTAATTAGATTGACCCTATTTTTAGTGGCAAAATTTTTGTACACGTAACTTATTACATAAATGCACTCGTATACTTTGGGCCTATTCTGATTTACTGAATTGAAGTGAACTGAACTGATTGGAGTGGAATAGAACTAAACTAAATTGTTTATGAGAGATGAAAATTAGAAACTAAAGTGAACTGAATTGAAATTAAGCGGAACAAACCCTTTATTTGTTTTTCACTATAGGCAACAAGTTGATTTTTAAGAAGTGTTTAATAAAGTTAACATGTTGAATATATTTAGAATCGAAGCCTTGAAGGTATAGCATGTTTGTGTGAAGTGTTATTCAATCACACCTTATTAAACATATAATAAGAATATAATTTCAAAAGCTTGAGATTGTGTTAATTTAATAACATAGATAATAAATGTTTGAAACTTCCAGCAACTATACGATTTGGGGGCAAGGAGAATAGGTGTGATCAGTGCACCACCGTGTGGTTGTCTTCCATCACAAAGAACCTTGCATGGCGGCATATTAAGATCTTGCTTTGAAGATGAAAACGAAGCTTCAATTCTATTCAACAACAAGCTCATTTCCGAGCTAAATTATCTCAATCAAAAGCTAACGGGATCCAGATTTGTGTACCTCGACATCTACAACCCATTACTCAATCTCATAAACAACCCTTCTCAATCAGGTATATATAAAACTATTGCTTAGAGTTTTTCTATATCATATTATATGCTAAAAATGAACATATTCATAAAATAAAATATTGACCTAGCTAATAATGACAAATACTAAAGGCCTGTGTATAATATGTCATGGATTTGAATCAGCCTCTCGTTGTATGCTTTTGTAATTTGTACACTGGAAAACACTAACCAGTAACCACTTGAGCTATCCCTCACTCAAGAACTAACATGAAATTAACATGACCTAATCTATTTAATGCACATGTAATGAATAGTTAAATATTAAAAATTTCGACATAATACTAAATGCATGTCATACATCATGTTTAATTAATGTTAATAAGGGCAATAGGATATGAATCTGATTTGACTGCTAACCAAACTTAGCTTTATACAAAAAATTTAATATAATAAAAAATTATTTTTACAGGGTTTGAAGTTGCAAATAGAGGATGTTGTGGCACTGGAAACATAGAGGTGACTTTACTATGTACAAAGTTTGCTGTTGGTACTTGTAAAGATGCCTCAAAATATATATTTTGGGATAGTTTTCATCCAATGGAGACAGCTTACAAAATCATTGTCCATGATCTCCTCCAAAAAAGCATAGGCGATTTCTTCTAAATGATTATTTCATATACTACCTCCGAATCATACTATATACAACTTTGGAATTTTTTATATCTCATAAATAATACCCCAAAGTTGCATATAATATGATCTGGGGGTAGTATGTACATGTATGCAAAATTGGAATTACTCGTAAAATGGTGGGAAAAAAAAATTGTTTTATTCATGTTACTAAATTCATATTTTTTATGAAGTAAAATTCAAATAAAAAATTCAACAAATATTTGTAGTGTGCTTTTGCGTATTATATTTGACTTTATTGTTTACAATAAATATATTGGTCCCAATATTTATGAACTCTTTCTTCTCACTTGTTTCAATTTATTACGAGTACCTTTCAACATGTTATAATACTTCTCAAATATGTGGTAGGATCGGGTTTAATTTTAGTAAATTTTCCAATAATAAAGACTCCACAAGTCTGGCACATACGAACTTGGATGAGGAAATTGTTGAGAATTGGTTTATTTTGAGCTAGATTGTCATTTATTGAACGGTTGAACCCAAAATATGCAATGCTATTCTATCAAAGGGTAAATTTACTTAATTTTTTATGGCAATGCGTGGAAGATAATATACTCGGGCTTTTTATTATTATTATTATTTATTTTATTTTATTGAATCAGAAGCAAATAGGGCGGCGGATTGGTTATAGCTAATCATGGGGTCGTCCAAAACAACAACATTGAGTTGATTTAATTCCCTCCTATCGAACTAGGACGTATCTTACATGAGGATAGTGTAGGGGTGGCTTTGCCACGTTTAATTTCTGTTTAGTTTCTATTTTCCCGGGGTTTTGTAGCCCCTCATTCGCATAAAAAAAAAAAAAAAAAAAAAAAAAAAAAAAAAGAGTGGGTGTAAAACTAAATTAGGGTGAAAAGAAAAGTAACGTTTAGCGGGTTTAAAGTGTGTTACTGAAATAAAATAGAGACAAACATAAAAGAAAATGTGATGAATTAATAAAAGTGTCTTCTATTTACCTAAATGTTATCTGAATGAATTTACTTGAAACTAATTGAACTTATTCGAATTTTTCTAAATTTAAAATTAATTTTAGATGTATATTCAACTTTTGTAACCCTTATTAATCTTTATTGGGATTTTTCAAAACTAATATATAGTCTATTACTCCACTCTATATGGATCTACTTTATCTGAACTTATTTTTCAAATACTCCATAGTGTTAAAGCAATTAGGCAAACAGGATACAGCGACCTTACTGCTTCCACTCAGTGTCTTAGCTTAGTGTTATGCAGTGCATTTACTACATACACATTAAATTTCACATAAATCTCAATCATATAACTTTACACCTAACTAAGAAGGTTCGTACATGTAGTCGACTACATAATACACAAGTTAAATTGAGTTAAAAATCAAAATTGAAATGACACACCCTTTATTATGTATATATATACAAATATACGATATACAAATATATGCTTGCCTATATAATGTACACTCTTAGCTTAAAATTGGAAACATTGATTACAAACAGAGAACGAGAGAAAACAGAAAATAGAAATGAATAATATATTGGGATATAATGAAATTATATCTTATTCAAAACTCAATAATATTATGGTTTTTAGTATAGTCATGGTCTCATATTTACACATTTATGTACATGCTATAAGGTTGGGAGGAAAAGAATATAAAGTACCAGCCCTTTTAGTTTTTGGAGATTCAATAGTAGATCCAGGAAACAACAACTACCTTCCTACTATTGCTAAAGCTAATTTCCCACCTTATGGGAGGGATTTTCCTGGAGGTGTACCTACCGGAAGATATAGCAATGGCAAAGTCCCCTCCGATTTCATTGGTAATTTTACTTCTAGTACGCGTATGTTTTTATTTTAGATATTGATCTTGTTTGATAAATAGTTTTTGGCTTTTTATTGGTAAATAGCTTCTTAGCTGGTTAAAAAGTTGGTTAACAATTCAAAGTAGGGTTTTTTTTTTTTTTTTTGTTTTTTGACTTGTTTAATTTGTCCTAATAGAAAGTTAGTTGTTTGTATAGGCATGTTAACTAATGGATTAACTTATTGTATGAGTTGGTTTGGCTAGGTGATTGTAAGTCTTTGTCAAAAAAAAAAAGGGTGATTGTAAGTCTAGCTGCTTGAATACTACGTATTTGTTTGTGTAAAAGTCTTCTCTAATGTGTAAAATAACCAATAAGAATATATGCATAACACATTAATTTATTTTTAGTTTGAGAATTCTTAGTATAAGTAGTTATTTTACTTCATTCCCTTCATATATTACATCAAACCTCTCTCACTAAAAAGCTCATATTACTAGCTTTTTCAAAATAGCTTTTTTTAACTCAAAAAAAATTCGTTCTAAATTTTCTCAACCAAACATTAAACTCTCTTTTGCCTCAAACATGTTATAGTCTTGCTTTCAAAAAAAACATGTTATAGTCTCCACTAAATCAACGTTTTCAAGTTCTTAAAATCTTATAAGAGATACTTCGTAAGTTCGTATACATTATCAAAGGGGATTTGAGAAAGCTGAAATTATAACATGCCAAAATTTGAATAACTTTTGTATCCGGTGTATAGTAATTTACTGTACATCGTGTTACTTTTATCAAATTTAGGGTCACTTTTACAATTTTTCGAATAACTTTTATCAATAAGGCATAAGTGTAACTTTTTTCAAGGTAATTTTTATTCATATTATGATAATTTATAACGGATTTACAATATTTTATTGTAAATCCGATTTATTTAAATTTACCCCTAAAATTTTTACTTCGATTGTGTTTATTATAGCTGAAGAGCTCGGGATAAAAGAGCTAGTGCCTCCATATCTGGATCCAACCTCCAAATTAGTGACCTAATTACTGGTGTTAGTTTTGCGTGTGGTCTTGCTGGTTATGATCCGTCATCAGCTAAATTCGCGGTTTCTTTCTCTCTTTCAAGCATTCTTTTAATTGTTTTAAGACAAAGAGAGTCGTTAACGTTTTGATACAAATAATTAAAAGAACATGTGAAATTTCAAGTTAAGCTAAATGGCACGACTAACATGAATGTATGTTTTGATCAAGTGCAGAATGTTATGACATTACAAGACCAATTGAATTTATTTAAAGGGTATATAAGCAAGCTCAAGGATGCTGTAGGAGAAAACGCGACATCATCCATCATTTCCCAAAGTGTGTACCTAGTTAGTGCTGGAAGCAATGATATCACTACCACTTACTTCTTATTACCATTCACAACGATATCTCCACATATACTGATTTACTAGTTAATTGGGCATCCTCTTTCGTGCAGGTAATTTCGAGGCACATTCATTATTTTAGACAACTTATACTCGCGACTTTCTCTACACCAAAATCTAATGCTACTTTTTAATAAATCCTAAGATACATGATATTAGGGTCTGTTCTCATACGTTTATTTTCAGTTTAGTTCAGCTGAGAACAGGCCCTTATTAGGACTTAGTGTGTTGGAGAATTGTGACAATAACTTAGGAGTGAATATTACGAGTATAGAAATAAAAATAACACCTACTTAGATACGGACTGTAGAGCAGTTAGGCTATTGTCATAGGAATTGAAAACCTGTAATAGAAGATTGTTTATACAACGGTTGCGTCACGTGACTATACAACTCTCTCATAACCCTCAAAAAAAGTTAATACAGAATTAAATTACAATAAATAAATACCAACATGTTTTTTGACTAGTGTACTATGTTATCATCTCTTAATTATAGAACAGGCTTTGATTACATTAATTTTGTTGCCAATAGTAATTGTACAATTGAAACTTATAGGAACTATATGGTCTAGGAGCAAGAAGAATAGGTTTGCTGAGTGCACCACCTTGTGGTTGTCTTCCATCACAAAGAATATTTCATGGCGGTCTCTTAAGATCATGCGCTGAAGAAGAAAATGAAGCTTCCAGTATTTTCAACAACAAGCTATTTCAGAGCTAAGTTCTCTGAACCAAAAGCTTGAGGATTCTAGAATCGTGTACCTCGACATCTACAACCCATTTCTCAATCTCATAAACAATCCTTCTCAATCAGGTAACCAACATTTTCCATTAAAAGAAGAGAACGCACTTAGATTTCCTTACTACATAACGCGTACTGTGTTTCTTCATTTTTTGCTAGGTTTCGAAGTTGTAGACAAAGGATGTTGCGGAACTGGGAACCTAGAGGCGTCTGTACTTTGTGCAAAGCCGGATCCCCTGTCCTGCGAAGATGCCTCGAAATATTTATTTTGGGATAGTTTTCACCCAACAGAGACAGCTTACAGACTCATTGTCCATGAGCTCATTCAAACCAGCGCAAATAAATTCGTTTAGAAAGCAAATAGAGATAATAAACTACATGTACTTGGCATCATCTGCAGGAAGTTAGAAACCAAGCTCGAAGAAACTCTCCTGTTTATACATAAATTCAACATCTTATGACTTTGTTTTACTCGTATGCAGTATAAAATTTGTCCATTAGATCCTCTAGTAATACATTATTCATGACTTGTCACGATGTAAGAATATCGTGTTCATATAAACAGATCTTTAATTTTGTGAGTGATGGGTCATTAACTGCTTTAAGACACATTAGGTTCAAAAAACTGTATACAGAATTGAAGAACAGAATAGAGACAGCATTATACAGATGAAGGTTTTATAGCCATTTTCAAGAAAACAAGGGATTTTTCTTCGACTATATATAGATATACTATATAGCTTAATATATACAGGCAGCCATTCCGAAACACGTTATTTTCTCTATAATAAACATGACCTCAACCCAACCCAACAAAAAAACAAGGTCACTGAAAGCCCTAGTATACGCCTCTCACACTACAAAACTGCATGCTCCTCCTACTTCACCTGAGATAACCTAATAGCAAGCAAACAAAGAAAGACTCTTAACAGAATACACAAGGACAACAAACCCTAAGGAATCAAAGACAGACTATACACAAGCGAGCATGAGCTTAAAAGCAGCATCGTTATAACAGATCAACGAAGCTTGTTCTGAGCCACAGCTTGACATAGTTCATCTTCATAGAAAAGTACTCGATTTTTGCAGAGGGGTTTTGACATAACAGATGGGACCATGCACCTTGAAGGGAGTGACGCTTCTTGAAACAAAGCAGCAGCAACCTGCCTCATCTCTGTATACTTTAACCGAGAAGGTGGCCGAGGGCCATGTCTTGGCGCTTTTGGGGTATGTGGGCTTGCCAATCGTAAACCCCTGCCTTCTCCCTTGCTGCAATTACATCCAATTTTAAGGATTTTTCCGTATATTATTTACAATTGGGAAAAATAAACAATTTCAGCATACAGACCTGAAGAACGGCCAGTGTTCTGTTGCAAGTGGAGTCATTGTACTCAACATTTCCTGGCGAGATCGATCAGGAGTAGTATAATTAAAGTGAAACTGTCGAGCAAGAGTGACCTGCCACATAATATCCACAAAATTATTACGATAAAATTTTCTTTTGATAAACAAAAGAGGGAGATAAAAGAAAGGGCGAAGGGCTTGAATAAGCAGAAAGCAAGGAATACAGGAACTTACAGCCATTCTGATTCGTTGGGAAACATGAAATACTGCTTTTAGCTGATCATGGTGCAAGTGACAAAGGACTTTAACCTAAGAAGATTCATCAGACATAACTTAGGCAAAACTGGTACCACAGATTATACAAAAACAGAACAGATAACCGTCAAGAGCAAACTCAAATTTTAAATTAGAGATAACACATCAGGAGCATATACAGTAATAACTGAAGCTTCCAATTAACACATAACCATCACGAGTGTAGTTACTAAGTCCCTCTTATATCATAAAACTGGCAAGTGGCAACTGCAACTCTTATACAAAGTACGAAGTATAAAACATCTTGGTTCATTCTTTTTCACAAGATACATCACTTTCACAACCCCTCCATGTTTTCTTAAATTACAGAATAAATACAGAATCACAATATACAGCAAAATATAACCTGACTCCTTGCTGTCTTGCCATCTCCTAGCCAGAGAAAACCTTAAGTTAAAACCATGATGACACTACAGAACTTTTTCTAACTAAATGTATTAAGATCGGTTGTCTCCAACTGACCCTAGACTGTTTACCACTTCATAGTGAAAAGAGCAAATCAAAAATCCATTTTGGTTACTGAACAAATATTTTGGCAGCCTTAAAAGATGAAGAGATTTTTATAACGATTTGTGTGCGTCAATAAGCTATTGGCCCCAAGGTATTGAAAAAAAAAAATCAAATAACCATTAGGTGTTGGATACACGATATTTTAGATTGTATTTACAGCAAATGACACTCAAACAGACTCAGAACTCCCTCAGCAAGTATTCACTTTACAGAATATTCGACATCATTAGAGTTCATATATTATAGCTCTCTAGTCTTAAAAGAATGGAATGATGAGTGAAACTAAGAAACATAAACGATGACTGAATAGAGTTCTTTAGCAAAAGGTACTTTTTTAACAAAATACTGTCATTTCAATCAACATATAAGCAATCAGGACTTTCAAGTTCAATACTTTGAATAACACAGTAAACTCCACCCAAAGAATGATGAATAATGTCACTTTACCAAACGACATAATCAATGCAAAAAAGTCAAGTCATCATATACAAAATAATGGTAGAAATAAAAATCACAGGAAAGTAATATACCAATAAATCCATAGGAAGAGACTCGAGCCGGGACTCAGAATCAGAGTCTTCAAACCGAGGAGTCTGCGGAGTCTTAAGAAGACTATTCTGTCTCACTAAATCAAAAGGTGACACCGCAGTAGGAAACCCGAATCTTTCAGGTGACATCAAGGGAGTCTCATGAATAGGAACAGGCCTTTGTGCAATCACCGATTCATTATCATTATTATCAACCTTTTTGGAATCTGATAATGCAATCCTTTTCTTCCCTAAATCGGTGCAAGACTTTGTAGATGACGCTTTGCTGTACCGGAGCTGAGCAAGCGCCCCTGGTCTCAAATACTTATTGTTCGAATTCCTGGGTCGTCTTCTCTGTCTCGGGGTTTTCGATTCCTTCTCTTTAGGAGATACTTTCCCCATTATCAACCTTAATTTCACCTCTTCTATTCAAATGAATCAAATGATCCCTTTTCCATAAACCACTTACCCAATGAATTGCTTTTCCCCAATTATAAATATAAATAGATAGATAAATAAACCAATCAATCTCCTTCAACCTGAAACAAGCAATTAATACCCAGAAAAAGGTGAGTCAAACTTCAACCTTCAAAAAAGTAGTAGGAAATGAAGCAGAATAACAAGAAATGATAAATTTCAGGAAAACCCACAAAAACCCTAAATCATAAAAACCAATTAAATTCCCCCCAAAATCAACCAAAATCCCTCAATTTTTTTCCCCATTTCATGAATTTACCAACAGGTGAAAAACAACCAAAAGGAAGCTAATTTATCACACCCACAAAAAAATCAAAACAAACCCAGAAAAACCCACAAAAAATGGCACACAATCAACAAAAAAAAAAACACTGGATAAACGAAAAGAAATGCAATTAATCCAAACCCTAATTAAAACAAAAATAACCCAGAAAAATTCAACAAAAATAATACTCCATTGAAAAGCAGAAACCACAAACCTTGAGGAGAGAGAAAGGGGGAACTGACGAAAGCGCCGTTGAGGAGAGAGAGAGAGAGAAAGAAAGGGGGGAAAATTAGGGTTTTGTTTTGGGGGTGGGTTTTGAATTTGTTGTGAATGCCCGCCAATTTGTTATATATCCAAAACAATTTCCAAAGTTTGGATTTTTATTTAGTTTTCATTTTTAATTTTGATTTAAATTTATTGTTGCAAAAATAAGAGGAGCAGAGAATCTAGGTGGAAGTCCACGTGGCAATATGGGATTGGGAGGTAGCAGTTGTGGGCCTTAGAGTGGGGGAGTTGAGAATCCTATGTTCATTATATGACTGGGCCAGGCCCTACGCCGTTGATTTCGCTTTTTTGTTTTAATTAGGAGTTATTCTTTTTTTGTCTTTAATTATTTACACTAATTATGTTTTTTATTAATTAATTAGTTTTGGCTTAATTGTTACTCCGTATCAATCAACAAAAAGGTGCTTAGAAGAATGGGGTATTCTTCTTCAACAAATAAAAAAAAAGGAATGGGGTATTCTTTCATTAAAAATAGAAAGAATGGGTATTTTATGGGATCAATTTTTATGTATAAAGTGAGGTTTTGGGAGGGAATATTTTTTGTAATTGCATGGATTGTTTTTTCTTTCTAGATGACTGGTTGACACTAGATAGATGAGGGGAAAATCCGCATTAGTGGAGTAGTTTATAGATTTTTTTTAATAACAAAAAATCTATATTTTGTTAGCCAAAATGCCAAATTATTCATCTTACTTACTACTCGTATTTTGTTGAACAGTGGATTGAAATAGTTTGTAACCTACTAACCTAGCCATGTACGATTGTATCATTTGTATGAATAATATTTACAAGTTGATTAACAACATCATGGATATCAATGCATCGAATGTGAGTTACTTACATGAGTGACATGACTATAAGGGTCTGTTCACTTCAGCTTAATTTCAGTTCAGTTCACTTCACTTTGGTTCACTTCAGCTCAGCTCCAATCAGTTCAGTTCAGCTTCTAATTTCTTTCTCTCATAAAATATTTAGTTCAGCTTCTAATTTCCTTCTCTCATGAAATATTCAGTTTAGCTCAATTCAATTCAGCTCCAATCAGTTCAGTTCAGCTTCAATTAGTTTAGTTTAGTTCAGCAATTCAATAAATGTGAACAAGACCTAACTCTATATGTGTTTGATTGTTTGAAGTGTCCAGATTTTTAATATGATAAAATTGAATGGTACATAAGAATGAATAGGTCACACATGTAGAAAAGGAAAATGTAAACTTATTAGACAACCCTAAAATAAGGTGAAAATAAGTGAACATAGTATATAGCCCTAAGTTCAAATTTAGCTCGATAATAAGATTAGGTACAATAATATGCTATAATAAGTGATGATAAGGGTTAATAAGGACAACCTGAGTTCAATTCTTAGCTAAATTAAGTTTTGATGAGGTATAATACATTTTAATAATTAAGTTTTGAAGATTGGACGAGATAAGTTAGGATAAGTGAAGATCGCGTGAAAAAAAGCACAGCATTGGAATTACTAATAGAAATCAAATATAATTATTGTAACATGCATTAATTCTTTATTTTAGGTTGTTGTTAATTACGTTCAATCGAGTGTACATATAACATAAAAGCCATTGCTAATCAGTAATTAGCTCTCGATCTAATAATTTGATTTCAGATAAGTTCAAGTCCATCAGACACATTCTTAATCATTAAAACTATTGAGAGGTATTTCATTTAGCTGCGAGTAACTATATGAATCATCATAACTAACGTGTTGAAACTTATTTTAACCTACGGTGTTGAACTTAATTGTAATAGTAAGTTAAAGTTATTATAAATTGTTAAAAACAATTTTATATGTCATTAAATTGTTTGAATTTTTAAGCACATCATTAAGTTCAAAAGTTGAATACTATACGAGTACATCTCAAAAAAAAATCATCGAAAATTCAAAATTGTCTAGAACAAGCTCCTAACCTCCTAGTGTTTTGTACATATCAAAGGGGTCATCATAGAGTAGATTGATTTTTATTTTATTTTTTCAAATAGCCATTTGATGCTTTCAAAATTTCAAACAACTAGGAAATAAAACAGTCAATTACATTGTACAAAAATAGTATGATATGCAACGTGACATAAAATTACAATAAATGACAAATAGGGGAGCTACATATAAGCCGCATAAATCACACTCCGACAGGGTGGCGCCTAATATACTCGTATAACTATAAGCATGTTCATCCAATTTTCATGAAATTCAATTTTTTAATTTTCATTTTCATTGATTATATAGAGCCAATAATCCCGTGAAATTATGAACCTGAATTTCTTATATAGTAAAATAAATATGAGATCCTAAAAACTGAAAGTCAAATAATGCACTTATTGTATACAACTATACAAGTATTTCATTATTAGACAACTTATCATTTACATAGGATTCTTTTTTGCTGACAAATTTTTCATGTGTTTAGCCACCTTAATATAGCAATTAAATTATAAATAGCATACTATTATAAAACAAATTCAAATTAAATAGCATACTATTAAAAAAAAAAGTAAAATTAAAGAGCATAGAGTAATTTATTGTACATGTCACAAGTAATACAGAATACATTAATTAGTAATACCCCCTATTTTTACGGGTGGTTTTGTAGCAGAGTAAAAAAGAACAACAAAATGGTTCAAGTTGCATATTGCCAGAATTGCCACTTATTGTTGCATGCATGAGTATTGGAAATTGTTACTTCATTCATGCATCTGAATTCTGATGTATGGTTAGTTGGCTCTGTTCAATTAGATTATCCTATCTTCGGCTTATCCTCTTAGAAAATAAAATGAAAATATTAGCGTAGATATAATTAAATTATCAGTTTGTTCAGTGTGTGGCTGATCACATCGTGCAGCACTGTAGCTACTTATAAAAACAAAGTAACTCTATTATGTTATGAAATATTGTGTGGATATCCATTATCCTCCTTTATCATTATGAAATGTTCTAGATCCCGGGTTTATTGTTATCTAAGCAAACACTAGTTATACTGTATGTATATATATCCTCACTCTATGGAATAATATTGACTGATCTATTCTCTACCCTACTTTCTCCTCTTTCTCTTTAATTTAAATAATAAATACATATGTGTTATGCAATGTATAATGATTTAAAATTGTTCTCTTAGAAGAGATAAAAACTTGTTTAATATAATTCTTCTGAGAGATAAATTTTGTTGATTATGATCCTCCCATGAAATGAATTTTATTACAAATTTAATTTGTATACTAAGTTGGTGAAGAATTGTGATGCCCCTATATATGAGATATTTTACCAACTTAGGGGGAGAATTGGAGTAAGTTGGCAAAAAAAAAAAAAAAAAAAGAATTAAAATGATGATCCCTATATATATATAATGGTAATTCGAAATGTTTTCTAGCCAACTTTCGTCCATATGTTATCAACATATGTTGCACATTGAGATAAAGCTTGCCAATTGTATATACTTGAATCACTACACCTGAAGTGTAGATTGTATAATTGGTTCCAAAATAAAGATGTGATATATGACAAGATAGTGCAGTTAACACTTTTAATAGTGTAATAGTATATTAATACTATGTGTATAAAATACCCTTGATACGAAGCTATGTAAATATCTGAATTATTACAATAGATGGCCTATGATGTAAGAAAAATTATGATGGTACCTATGAAAAATGTATTCAAATATCATTGTCAAGATAGCATGCAAATTAAAATTGTACCTTGAGGAATTATATGATGATACCGGTATATGATGGAACCGATAAATAATGCATATGCATGATATAATGGACTAGTGAATAAGGGATCTGAAATATACGTCCATTTTGATGTCGACATAATGATAATAATTAAAGTTTATCATGGACCAGAAGTCCAATGAAATATGGATTTTTAAAATCCACACTGTACAGTGTCTTGCATTATTTCGAGTCCTATGTATGTTCATATGCATGTGTGAGTCGTAGATTACTGGATTATTCATTGCATATGTTCGAAGTTGTTAGATGCATTACTCATTGTATAATTTGTTTAATATGTTATCATATATTTTATATCTCATATTGCATGCATTACTTTCTGTACAATAATTGTGGTGTATGTCAATGTTCATTCAAAGTATAGTAAGACATATTTACAACTTCGATGGAAAATGAGAAAGAAATATTTATATTCTAGTGGGCTTATAATTGTGATGAAATTATTGATGACGCAGATTCAATTGCATGTTATGAATCATGTAAGAAGAAGAGTTCATGAAGAACTTATGTACGGCGCATTTATATATCCAGCTCTACAAAAACCCTCCTGAGCTTATCTTCTCCAACGTTGACACCACCCTACACTCCACTTCTCAGCCAAGATCTCCTTTGGTTCAAAAGCGAAATCAATGAAGGTTCAGAAAGAATTCAATGCAGAAGGTTGCTGCGAATTCAATGAAGAAAGAAGTTTCGTGTTTTGCTGGGTGAAAATTGAAGTTCAAGCCAATTTGTGGGACCCACGTTAAATTTCCGTGACGGAAATCGTTAACTGGTGTTAACTTCCAACTTTTATATTTTTGGGAGGTGTTAAAATAAAAGTTTTTTTTTGGGGGGTGTTAAAAAACATTTTCAGCCTTTTGTAAGGTGTTAAAATCCAAAATATCCTAATTATTATTAAACTTTTAGTCTATGTGACACTACAACAAATTGACCTTTGTGCACGAGTAAAAACGTGGCACAAGTTTAAAATTCCCGTGGCTATGTAATTTAGCCACGGGAATTTTGAAATTTACTCTCGTGGCACAAGAGGCCGTGGCTAGGAATTTGCCACGGGAAAACGAATGTCGTGGCAAATTTCAAATTTTGTGCCACGAGTATTCACGTGGCAAATAAATTCATTGCCACAAATATTAATGTGGCTAATAAATTATTTGCCACAAATTCTATCGTGGCTAATAAATATCATTAAAATACTACCTTCGCTAATAAGCTATGATTCAATAAATTTTACTGTGGCTACTAACACTAGTAGAAAATAGCAATTAGGCACCGATTTTGCATTTGTTCACCCAAATTGATCAACTGACTTAGTGCATATATACACATAAAACTTAGATATTTTCATTAATAGCTTGTAAATATACACTGTTCATCCAAAAAAATGAAAAAAAAAATGCTTAAGAGTACACTACAATTGAAGCAGTAATAATCAACAAGACAGAAGCAGAAGCAATAGCAATGTTCCAACAGTAGTTGTAGCAGCAACAACAGCGCCCAAATACAACAACAGTGGCAAACCCTCGAGCATCTAAAACATCTTGCTTTCTCTGACCATCCTAAGCCACTTCTACTTCTGTTATGAATGCATACCTCTTCAAATATTTTGGCAAATAGTGATAGAGCAACAGGAGCATTAAAGATTCCAGCACATCCACAAGAACATTCTTTCTTCCACCTCTCATGAGGACCATTATCAGTCCAAGATAATATTTTTACTCCCATTAGTTGCTGCTGAAACAAGTGCCTGCATGTACAACCAAAAGGTACAATCAGAGCACGCAAAGAGTAGAAAATATGACAGAAATTCATGTCAAAGACACAACAGAGCAAATTTCATGGTTTTCTTTGCTTGATTAGTCGTAGCAAACTACACATTCTATCTAAAATCTCACCCTAAAAAAAAGAAGAATTTTTTTTAATTTAATTCATTATTGATTTTAAAGCACATACTATGGGTAACCGTTTTTGGAGCACTGGAAGACTATAGTTATGTGGCTGCAAGCCTCTTTGGAAGAGAGAGTTCCTTTTCAGAGCAAGGGGTTGAGAAGTCACAGTGGCTGCTACAATCCCTGATAAATTTAAAAGGAGCAAGTTTAATAATAAGTTCACATCCCCTCTCAATTAACTTTTTTCTCATCAAACAATTTCATTGTAATGAATCGGTTGAACTAAAATCGCAAATCATCAATCTCGCGATTTAGCATATGTTGCATTGGCAAGGATAATGGTGATTGTCAATATTCACCCTTCACCACAATTTAATTTGTTTCAGAACACATTATATCAACAAAGGTTAAAAAACTCGCAAAGTGTAAATGTGAAGGCACCAATTTCTACCATCAATTGCTCATCAACAACCACTTATATCACATATGACCATAAATTATATTCAAAATGCAGATATACATAACAAACATCCATCACCAAATTCAGGAAACATAGATAATTTGATTAAAAAATATAACAAAATTTATAAAAAAAAAAAACATTTAGATTTTATAAAGATACGAATTGTGAAAGTACCTAAAAAAAAAATACTAACTCATAATGTTCCAGATGGGATTCCTAGGCGTCTTTTCAGTCCAAATCCATGGTCTTCTGGTGCTTATTCAAATTGGACTATCATCAAGGAGTTTATAGTGTATTCTACTTGGTTTTCTGGTAAGCATTCTATCCCAGGATTTAATCTAATTTCTTCATGATGTTTGAAGTAAGATTTGATTTTCTACTTTAGTTTAAAGTTTTATAAAGCTTATTTTTATTTGTCAAATTGACATTCCACAGGTCATATTTTGTGGTCTTATAGGTATACCCCCCTCAAATGGAGTCGTTCCACAATCTCCCATGCATACAAGAAGCTTGGCTTGTAACACCCCCAAATCTCCCTCTACAAAAATACTATATTTATACGTATACAAATACCGTAGAGATAGACTTGGGCGTATTACCGCCACGTGAAAATGTAAGGCTTAATTAATTACTCAAATTGCAGCGGAAAAATAACTAACTTTTATTAATAATATGAATAACCATAATAACTGTTTCAAAATAAACCAATAAAAACTTGTCCATACATAAATAAAATTAATTCCTATCTATGTGATCCCAATCCCGACTCTAGTATGCGTACGAACAACTTCACACCTAAAATCAAGACGGCTTAACAAAATGGTAAACAGGGCGAACCAAAACAAAAAGGAAAACAGATTAGCAAAAACGCTAAGTTCGTATAAGTGCAAGGCATGTAAATACTTTTATTAGGCAAACACGCTTTCGAAATAACCATTTAAATTTAAACCTGTCACGAGTCATTTTCCAAAATTAAACTTTCTAAACCAATAGATTTCCAATTTATAAACTTCTCAATTTTTGATATATTTCTAAACCAATTTTCCTCACCTAAGTGTGCACACCCCCCAAGCAAGTTATTCTATACTCGAGGAAAGACCAGATCATACAAAGCTCATGGTCTTACTTAACCAGTTCCAGGTAGAGGGACAATTAAAATATCAAATACTCAGGCTCACAATGAGCTACAAATTAATTAAACCAAGTGATTTATAAATCAAACAACTTTTATTAAATCGATCAACATTTATAGATCAAACCTTCAAATCATAAAATTATATACTTTAACTTGTCATGAAAATTGTTAACTTAAATATTCATACGCAACATTTATTCAAACAATCATTAAAACAAACATTATACAAAACACGCATTCAAAAATTGTATCAAGGACCTAGCCACCTATACGTACCTTGATCACGAGAACAAAAAGGTACGACTACTAAACTTGACCACGATCGGGAGACTCCTCCTACACAAATAAAATAACCTTAATTAATATAAGGTTAACAAAATAACACAAAACCAAAAACATCATTCTATTGTGCATGAACTACCTGAATATTAACCTTTATCAAAATAGTGCTATTAGTATAGTTGGGTGGTCGTTGGTGGCGGAAGAGGTGGTTGTTCGGTGGCAACAACTTGGTTATGGGTTGCAGAGTTTATTTAAGCTAGATAGAGTAAGAAGAAGGGGTGATGAGATGGAGAGTAGAGAAGAGAATTTCTGATTTGGTGTGAATAAGTGGGAAGAATGAAGGGTCTATTTATAGTGTTTAAGGGGTAGTAAGATAGAGTTAAAGGAGGATTGAGATTAACATGGGAACATGATAAATGTAAGTTTGTTAAATGAATATGAGTGAAATTTAGTCTAGGTTAATTTTTGTGGAAAAGAAACTAATGAAAGATATTAGAGAAAAAGTAAGATAGGTGTTAATTGGTTAGGGAGATAAGATAGGAAGTAATATAGATTAAGATACTTAGCCTAACAAGGGTTGTTGGAGATAAAAGAATCATCCAATTCTCACGGCCAACTTTCTTTTTTTTTTTTTTTTTTTTTTTTGTTTTTTGAAATCATAGTTTAAAAATATTAGATAATATCAAACTAAAATAGTTGTATATCATAAAATATGAACTAACCAAAATAATTAATTATTATTGATTTTATGTACTAAAATAAATACTTATTTTTGGCGCCAAAAATTAATTTTGGCTCCTAATTCAAATAATTGAATAAATTATTAAAATATTTATTTTCAAAGTTTCGGGGTATTACGTGGCTTCTCTCAAACACCGGGTATCATTCACTCATGACTTGGCTAATAGTGATACAACTACAAACAATATTTGAAACCTGTTTATATGAAAAGCATTTTCTTTGTGACCATCGATCAACACCATTGCCTAATGAAGCTGGAAATATGGACTAGCATGAGTGCAGGATAATAAAAATGGGCCTAAAAACAATGACAGGCTGCTATATAATTTATTTATTTTTTTTCAAATAAAGCATACAGGACTAGTTAGAAACACTTCAAGTTGGGCATTCACAGGGTACCTTATTAACGTGACTATATATTGTTATAAATGTAAATGGCTTAATTTGTTGCCCAAATATTGGGAACTAAAAACAACTATTATGCAGAAACCTCAGTTAATTTTGAACCTGAAATCAACAAGCATCTCATATTCTCATGCATGAGTAGAACTCCCACATTTATACAAGTAGATTTTGAAATCTAAGAGATGCGATTCTAAGATGATTTACTGGCTTTTGAAACAGCTTTTAAGGAACAAGCTTGTAGCAGCAGCAAGAGATAGCATACAGAAGAATTCAAACTTGGGTCAGTTATACAGATTCATGCAAGACGCTTACCAAGATATGCAGACACTTCTTGTCTATCAGATACCATATTCTCTGGTAAAATAGCTGACCTAAATCTGTAATTAGTATTACTAATACGGATTATAGTGTTGCTTCCTTTATGTTGAACTCAAAACTCCTAACAGGGACTTAAGGAGTTGAAAGAATTAACAATTCAGAAGTTCTCAGAGGGTGGCAGCATTGACACACCAGTTGAATAGTTGATGAAACTGTTTTTGACGTAGACAACCCAATTAAAAGAAGAAAAAAAGGGAATTTCACCTTTAAAATAGAATTGCAAGTTCAATCACGCGAAACTAAATTGAAAAAAACTCAAACACAAATCATGCAAAATGAAACACAAAGTTAGAAAATTTATATATATATAAACAAGATTCAAAAGCTGTTTCACCTTACTCAGAAAAAAATAGAATTTTGGGGGAAACGGGATTCATCCAAATTAACCGCTGAGCAATTTGCATCAATTTAACCCCGAGAAATCAAAGCATTTAACATGAATAATTGGACTAAAAAAAGCCCCGAAAAAACGCAAAGCTAAATAAACCAGAAACCCTAACCTCGAATTTGATTCGAATTTGTTTTTGCTTGAATTATGGCATGAAACCCCTGAAATTGGTTCGAAATTCAGTCTGGAATTTTCAATTTTCCTCGAATTAAGGCTGCATATTTTCGATCTAGAGGAAATTTCATTCGCATTCTACCTTATTAATCGTAAAAATTGAATCCAGGACTTGCAGACGATAGTCGAGGATGATGTGTCAAAGGCCGTGAAATGGAGGAAGGCAATCAGGCATGGAGGTGAGGAAGTTGTGGAGGTGATGAGGAAGATGGAGTCATTGAGTACTTGAAAAACTTTGAGATGAGAGAGATGAAGTACAGGAGGGGTTTTTTCTTTTTACGAGAGATATAATACAGTGATTTTGAGAGGAGAAAGATGAAGCATACGCATAACTGCATAAGTGGGTATTACCATTTACCTCATTTCCTTCAAAAAAAAAAAAAAAAAAATTACCGCATAGTCACTACTTCGGTAAAAAAAAATTATGTAATAGCCATAGGTGTAGGGATGACAATGATCTAGACCCGATCCGGATTCGTGGATCCAGATCCGTTTTTCACGAATCTGGGTCTTCAAATTTTGGACCCGACAGATTCGGGTCGGATCTGGGTCCTGCTGACAAAAACGGATCTGGATCTGGGTCTGGGCCCTAGACCCGGATCTAGATCCGTGGACCCGTTTTTTTATTTTTCCTATTAAAAAAAAACTAAAATTGTTTGTTTCTTTATTTAAAATGTTGATAATGTTAGTAATGATAAAGATTAACCCTTTCAAGAGATGAATTTTGGATGCTCATATTATATACATCATCGTTGATTTTTCACTAGCTCATATGTAACATCGTATTATTTTTGTTGTTTTTAATTTTTATTCAAAATATGAGTGTATAAGTTGGTTAATTTGGGGTTGAACTTAATAACCAACAACGTAAGTTTGAAATTTTTTTTTTACCCAAACATTACATTTTTTGCAAAAAATTAGGCAAAATATATTGGACCCGGATCCGTTAGACCCGACGGATCCGGATCCGGGTCTTCATTTTCTAGACCCGACGGATCCGGATCGGATCTGGATCTTACATACAAAAACGGATCTGGATCCGGGTCCATCCGGACCCGGTCCAGATCCGACCCGTTGCCATCCCTACATAGGTGGGTAGTATTGCCGTATTGAACTATTGGGGTAAGAATGAATGACTAAAAAAAAAAGGAACAAAAATAATACTACTAATCAAAATCAAATTCAAAATCAAAATACCGATCAAATGAAAAACGCTACCATTGAATTTTTTGGGCACCGATCCTCATTTAACGGATTATTTATGTCTAATCCGATTTTTATTTATTAACCACATTTTATGGGGTTTTTTTTTTCAGTCTACGCATCCACTAAAAATTGGTGTCTTTCTCTAAAAGTCTTTTTTCTTTTTTCTATTAGTATAATTCCATAGCAACAAAATCGAGTTCGGTAACTATAAACAATAGTTCACTATATGCGTTTAGGTGAAACCTAAAATGAGTGTATTGAGAATAAAATTAAGGATAAAACCCTAGATTGTGAAATTGAATTGGATGATGGCAAAAAGAATGGAAAACTAATGCATTGCTTTGGTGTCATTTAAGTTTTTTCAACTAGTGATTAGTGATCTTTCAAACAAAAAAAAACTAGTGATTAGTGATATCACTTGTAGTCATTGTTTGGAAAAAAAAAAAAGTCACATAAGTGTATGCTTATCATGGGAAAATTATTATTTGTGACACGTACTAGTGTAAAGTTTGCAAGGGGAAAAAACTATTCGTAACACATAAGTAAAGTTTGCCACGGGAAAAGAGCTACTCCTGGCACAAATGTAAAGTTTGCCACGAGAAAAGCGCTATCCGTGGCACAAGTGAGATAATTGCCACGGGAAAATAAATGCCCGTGGCATAAATTAATCCTCTTATTTAGGTATTGTATTATAGTTCATTTTTCCCGTGGCTAGATGAAATTATGCCACGAATTTGGAATTCCCGTGGCATAATTCGTGGCACAAGTGATGATTTGTTGTAGTGTGACTAAATCATTGACATCTCAACCTGAAATTTGAGCATATGAGAGTTAATGAGATTTACTATTCATGTTTGCAAGAGAGCTATCGTGTCAATTATGAAACGTCTAACGAATATCAATGGAATACTTATGTGTGAGAATGTTTTCTTATGGTCCAGAAGAACCATGGTTAGCGTATATAATTATATGTCTCATATTATAATTCATATGAGATTGAAGAACGACATTGATAATATCAAGTTTTGACATCATATTATTATTAAAGAATGTTTGATCAAATAATGATCATCAATAACGACTTCCAGCAGAAGTCATAACCGCATAAGTTTTAAATCAACTATTGAACAGAGATTTGAAATAATGATATTAGAGATAAACACATGTATGGTGAAATCAAGACACTTCACATGTTTACGTGAAGACTTGAAGATGCTATTTCAGTTTAGGAGGATCGAAGATCGAGGAATGATACTATTCTGCGTCATATGAGAAGACACCTAGCCAGGCCATATTGGATTCACTGCAGCACTAGATAATCTCAAGTTTTGTATTCATCAGGGGGAGAAAATACGCGCTGCACTCTTTTTCCCTTAACCATGGTTTTGTCCCACACTGGGTTTTCCTGGTAAGGTTTTTAATGAGGCAGCATCTCAAGCGTATTACGAAGAATGTTGTACTCTTTTTCCTTCATTAGGTTTTTATCCTACAAGGTTTTTCCTAATAAGGTTTTAATGAGGCACACTCTTCGATAATGGACATCCAAGGGGGAGTGTTATGAAATATTGTGTGGATATCCATTATCCTCCTTTATCATTCTGGAATGTTCTAGATCCCGGGTTTATTGTTATCTAAGCAAACCCTAGTTATACTGTATGTATATATATCCTCACTCTATGGAATAATATTGACTGATCTATTCTCTACCCTACTTTCTCCTCTTTCTCTTTAATTTATAACATATTAGGGATTTTCTGGATACTCTAGGATATTATTGTGATTTATTTATGTAACATATCTTGTGAAAAGATATGATAGAAATAACACTAATTAAGTGAACCTCTATAAAACTGACTACGTGATCTTATAACACTAACGAAGTAATCCCTTTACCAAATAATCTCTATTATCATACACTAATAACGAATTGAAGTAACTCCTATGATGATTGAGCACACTATGTGACCATCCACATATAAGAATTAATATTAGCTCTTAAAATTATATTTCGTATATAATTAGGCTTGCGAAGTTGTTAGGGGAGACTTTTTCACTAGTGGAGAAATAAACTAGGCATTTTATGATAGTTACAGAGTAATTACATTTTATGAAGTATAAATGTATATACCCAAAAATTAGGGTAGAACCCGCCAAATGAGTGCAACATACGAGTGAGTACAAAATATTTAGTTGCTTTTGTTATTTGTTTGTTTTTGTTTGTTGTATTAATGTGCAGTAATTTTTTAATTAAGTGGCAAATTACTGTCATTAATAGTAGTACAGAGTAGTAAATAGATACAGTAAAACACATGAAGTGTGCATGGAAATAGTGAATGAATAACCTCGAGAGATGGAATAATTAGGGAGACATTAACATTTAACAACATTATTACCAAAAAGCTACTTACTGTGCATGCACTAGATCCGAACTACCTGATCAGTCCGCACGTGTTTTTATCTTTCTTTCATTAAACTAGATTCTCTCTTTACTATTTTACACTACTAAGCAAAAGGTATAACCTAAAACCTAAAAGTTAATTTAAGGGTATATTGATGTCCCAATGTTATTTTAGACATGATCACATGTAGAGATTGACTTGTAAAATAGACATCTTTAGCCATTTTATTGCCCATGTATGTGTAATCCTTTAGATGTGACTTATAATGCATGTCGTTTTGTCAAGCTTTGCTCTTTTGAGTTTCTGAGCAAAGCAGAGTAGATTTTAGCAGAATAAAACAACTTCTAGAGAGCAAAGCGGCTTATTACTAAGCAGAGCAGAGTAGAATATATTTCAGCAAAAGTAGAGTATACCATAGTAGCTCAAAAGAACAAGGCTATAGTTAGACCGCTTAAATGATTCTAACAAGCACTTGTACTTAGGGGTGAAAGTTCGGTTTTCGGTTTGGTTTTTTGCCCAAACCGAAACCAAACCACCAAATTTCAGTTTCTTGATTTTGCAAACCACACCGCACCACTTTAGCTTTGAAACCGAACCAAACCAAACCACCTAAATTTCGGTTTTCCTAAAAAAAACAAACCGCACCGAATTTTCCTCTCAAGCATCCTAAACATCACATTTTACAAAAAAACCGAACCAAACCACACCAATTAAAATCGAACCAAACCAAACCATACAAACATCCCACCTAAAACCCACCTACCACCCACCCTAACCTACCAAAAACCATCGAAACTACCACCACTAACCACCCACAGGCCACAACAATGCCCACTAACCACCACTAACCACCCATAGAAACTATCACCACTACCACCCACAACAACCACCAAAAACCACCTTATCACCACCCCTAACCCAGATCCGCACCCACCACAACCCACAACCCACCTTATTTCACCACCCTTCATCCTTTCCACCCAAACACTAACCCTAGATCGACCCACAACTACCTATCACCACTGCAATTCAATCTACACGGCTACGCCACCATAAAAATAAAGTAGGAAAAAAAATTCAAATCAAATTAAAATTAAGAAAAAGAGGACATACCTCACATTCCACCGAAAAACCTCGAATTTGGGTTTTAAAGGTCAAGTTCGACCATGAAAACACTAGATCTAGTGTTTTCATGGATGAATTTGACATGAAAAACCTTAGCTACTCAGTTGATGGCTTAATAACGTTGTAAATAAACTTGTTCGCTGTGGGCTGGTGGGGAAAAGAGGAGAACATAGTGATGGAGAAGAGATCAAAGAGGAGAAAGAAAGGACGGAGTTGAGAAGAGGAAAGGAGAGAGAGGAAGAACTAAGATTCTGAGAAGAGGAGAGAGAAAGGGCGGAGAGGTGAGATCAGGAGAAGAAGAGGAAAGGAGAGGTGAGAGACTGAGAGTCAGATGAGGAAGTGAGGGATTAGGGTTTTTTTTTTTCCTTTATATACTTAGGGTAAAAGTGTTGGGCTAGGGGGCTTTTGGGCCTGAAATTTCGGTTATGTTCGGTTTTTCGGTTTTTCAATTTCTAAAACCGAAACCAAACCGAAATATTTTTTTTTTCAAAACCAAACCAAACCACTTTCGAAAAAAAACCGAACCATATTTCTTATTCGGTTCGGTTTTCGGTTTGGTTCGGTTTTAACCCAAATTTGTTTCACCCCTACTTGTACTCATATGTGAACAGAGAATTAGGCAGGCGACTAAGTTTTTTTTATTTTTTTATTTTTAATTTTAGTTTTTTTTAGGCAGGCGACTAAGATTTTTTAATTATGATATTTTAATTTTTTAGGCAGGCGACTAAGATTTTTTTTTCCTCCTTTTTAGTTTTAATGTTTCAGTTAGAAAGAAAATTATAACTACACATTTCAATGTCTAGACAATTCCAAGGCAGATCTACTATGAGGCCTGATTATGGCATGGGCCTTACTAATAGCATTTTTTTTTATTCAATGAGGTGTTTTTTTTTTTTTTTTTTTTTTTTTTTACCGGTAAACTACGGGGAGGGGCCCCATCCTATCTCAGGAGTGGGGCTGTGAGGAGTCGAACCCCCATCACATGGGGGGGGGGGAGATGGAGGGACCAACCATCTCTCCATCCCCTCACTCCTCAATTGATATCATGGCTTTGAAATACGAGTAAATACTCTAGTTTGATGGATATATTTGTTTATATAGAACTCTGTCCAGTATTTTTATTTATTTCTATAAATTATAAGAAATTAATACATAGAAACTAGATTCTAACAAATATCCCACATATAAATAATGTAAAAGTTAAAGTGGGACATTTATTTTAAAACAAAGGAAGTATTGATATTAGTGGACAACATGACATAAATCAATTTTGATCGAGCAAAAAAGCTAAGCCATCATTCATCAGTTGCCCTATCAACATTGATTAGTAATGAACTTCTACGTAGGGCCTGTTCTCATTGACTGAACTCAGCTGAACTGAGCTGAGCTGAGCTGAACTGAACTGAAATGAATATTTTATAAGAGAAGGAAATTAGGAGCTTAGCTGAACTGAACTGAACTGAATTGAATTTCAACGTAAGAGAACAGACCCGTAGTTGTAATTGTTATTAGTAAGTACAATATTGAGAATAATTATACACAGTAAATGTATATTGATACTTCATGAGAGAAACTTCAATATTACTTCCAGAACATGTAAGGAATGGACAGATGAATCAAAGCCCAATAACAAGCCCAAGCTTAAGCCAAGTCTTTATTGTCTATAGATATTAGATAGTACTAATAGCCCAATAAGGTGTTATACTAGCCCATTGTTTATTAGATTATTCTATCAGTAAACTTGTAAGTTTTTGAGAAAAGTTGTCAGTGTCAAAAGTGTTGTTATTAGTATTTCTTGTACACTCAATTGGGAAAGAAGCAAATTGCAATAAGGGGCGGATCTTTGTTTGGGCAGGCAAGAATCTGACCTCCCTAAGTATTTTTGAGTTGTTGATTATATGTAATTTGATAACTAAGGGCCTGTTCATATTTACTGAACTGAACTGAACTGAACTGATTGGAGCTGAACTGAACTGAACTGATTGGAACTGAACTGAACTGAAATGAGAGAGGGAAATTAAGAGCTGAACTGAACTGAACTGATTGGAGCTGAACTGATTGGAGCTGAACTGATCTGAACTGAACTGAAAATAAGTAAATATGAACAGACCCTAATACGGAGCAATTATATTATTGTATATAAAGTTGTAGCATAGACGTATAGTGGTAAATTATTGTTATCTTTAAGTAAAAGGTTAGGAGATTAAACCTTAACCTTTATTTTTTGTGGCCTATGATCCACCAGTGACCGTCAATAATCGACAAAATGAATGAATGTACCTTAGATAGCTTTAATAGTCTTGAAAGTGAAATATATATATATATTCGAGATTTGATATAAAGTGCACTCTCCTAATTTACAAACAAGAAAATGAAGTGAATAGAATGGCCAACAACTATCAAATTACTCTTAATTTAAATGCATTATCGAAAATATTTGGTAAAATTATACTCCGAAGACAGCTTTTAGCTAATATTTCGTTTTAAATTATGTGTAACTCTGTCTTGAAAGATATTACAAGTAAAAGTTAAGAAATTAATAAGTATATAGTTATTATAATAACATTTCTTTTGAAATCACTCGTACTAGCTTTTGTTATATATTGATCATAAGAAATTACATAATAATGTACTTTTAGGATCTTGTTAGATTTCTTTTCATAGTGTAATTAAACTTTTTCATTTTTATTTATTCATAGTGTAATTAAACTTTTTAATTTTTATTTATTCATAGTTTAAGATAATTACGAATAAATTTAAGTATTTGGGTAAACTGTAAACGTGATAAAAAAAATGTATAACTAATTTGGGACGGAGGAACTAATAAGTATAGTAATCACTTTCTATGATAACACTATCAATTTTCAATGAAATGATTTTGTGCACTTTAAATCTTCCAAAACAAAAAAAAGTGCACTTTAAATTATTTTTTTAAACACTCTAAATTTCGCGATTTTCACTTCTATTCATTGTTATTAACATTCTAATTTAAATCTTAGAATTTTATGATTTTACGATTCATGTATGTCATATGATTCGATTTACGATTCTACCCGATTTTATATAAAAAGTATTTTTCTTAACTAGCGAAATCCTTATAAGATTTTTTACATATCTTTTATTAGAAAGTTAGGAACATTTGTTAATAGATTAGTATAGATAGGCCTATTCACTCAATCAATGATTTTTTTTGACAAACATTTGTTTATAAAGGTGACAGTACAGAATTCAAGAAATAAACGTATCTTTGATAGGTCCATCTTGCGATCAATAATTTTCATTTAACCTTATTCGATCACGAAATTTCTGAGCAACTTCACATGAAAGAATTTCCAATAATTAGGCTGCATAAATACGGAGTATTGGAGTAACATCTGCTGTCTACATTCTACAACAGTTTTAAGTAAAGTTGAACTTAACAAATATTTTACGTAATTATCTTTTGGCTTTTTGCTGATTAATGAAGATCGTAGAGGAATATGTAGGGGTCTGATGGAGAGTGAAATTATGTGGTATAGAAGCATAAGAATTAAATTACCTAGTACTGCACTTCAAGTGAGAAGGTACGAAGTAATTTTTTATTATGATTTTTTTTTTTTTTTTTTTTTTTTTAAAATTTTAAATTTTTTTAGAATACTAGTTTGTGGTATGAAACGTCAATTCGAAATTAACAGTCAAACAATACCATTGGATATATTCTGAATTCTAATTCTATTTTTTTTTATTGGTGCAGATTTCCAAAATAATACCATTGGATATTCTAAAACCTAGTTCTATTTGATTGTTGTTACCCCCACAAAGGGAATTGCCGATTGATGACTAGCTTGTAACATTGTACTACCTTCGTTTTTTACTATTTGCAAAATTAAAATATTTTATCCCTCATTAAAAAAGCTAGCCTCGTTGTTGCAAATTATTAGAAATAGAAACATTGATCATCTGCTTCATAAATAATGTCTTTTTATTGCAAATAATAAGAACGGAGGTAGTATTAAAAACACTGATCAATAACTGTCATGATTAATAATTTCCATGAATCAAATAATTTGCCGTGTCCTATTCACGTTATATAAGTAATAACTAGCCTTTTAGCCCGTTCGATGCACGGGTTCATATTTAGGTTATTACATATGTAGGTATGTTTTTCAGTAGTTGAAACTTTTGATATGAAATACGAAGTAATTGTTTCATTGCTAAAACTTAAAAGGAAAAAAAGAATGAGGGTAGAACTGGGGAAAAAGATAAAGGAATTTAGTTACATATATATACATGAAGATTATAGGATATGAAATGACATATTGGTTTAAGTTATATTTTAAGTCTATTAGTTGAAAAGACAATTTTAATATAATTCAGTTCATATGTTTATGTGATTAATATTAATTGGTTCAACTTTATTTTATTACGATGGAAATGAAACACTTTATTTTCTTAATTGAATTTGCAAGTTATAGAATGTATAAAGACTTAAACAAAAAGATTAAAAGGGGTGACATGTGTCATATGTGGTAGTGAGTGACTTGTGATGACATGTGTCATATGAAAAATTATGATTTGTGTTTTTAAATACTAATAAGTATAGATAGATATAGATATAAATTAGTGAAAACAAATAAAGGTAGTAAATATGATTTAAGTTTAGTTAAAATAAATTAAGTTTGGAAAAATTAATTCCAGTTAAATAAATTTTAATTTATCTATAATACCTCACTGTTGAGTAAGGCGTACTATGTATTTCTATATCCTCATGAAATGCGCATTAAGGACCACCAGATCAATTGTAACCATGTACCAACTCAATTTCTTTCGGCACACTTTATCCTCACTTATGAGCACCTCGATTGAGAAAACTTGGAAATACCCATCCGAAAATTACTTCCGAAGAAAGATGCATCTTAAGACTACGTTTGGACAATCATACTTGACTATGGAGTATTTTAACATATGATGACTTTCCTAAAATAAATATGTATTTGTTGGTATAAGTAGTACGTACATCAAATCTTATATATTAAAGTAAACATAGGGAATATTACATAATTAGTAAAAATTAGCTAACTTCAAAGAACCAACAAAAATAATAATGAATGACGAAGAAAAAAGTTATACGAAGTAATCAATTTAAATATCCAAATTCAGTAAAATTTAATACGTAGTATTATTTAGTAAAAATTATTTTAGAGTAACAAACTTCAGGTGAAAAGAACACGACTTTAATTAATGGACACAATTGCTAATGGGCGAGACTAGCTAGAAATCTAGAATACACCATGACAATACATATTGTAATGGATGATGATGTGATGAATTGCCTCGAAAGGGAGAGATATCCTCCCATTATCCCAAGCCTTGTCCTACTTAATTGACCGACATAACACTTGCTTAATTGGCCTTGTTTTTTATTCTAAAGTTACAAAATTTTCAATGAACTAATAGAATTATACAGAAAGAGGTTATTGTCCTATTGATCGATTGCTCTATGTCATTACAAAAGGATCGGAGTATCGTTATTTTGTATTTTTAGTTAAATACTCAAATGTACGAATCTATAAAAGGTTTTTGTCTCAACATATAATAGTATGTATATATATGTTGTGAGATCGAACAATCAATAGTAATAGTAGTCGGGAGGAAACAAGAATTTGAGTTAGTTAATTTTTCTAAAATAGTTAGAAAAAATGGGTGCAACTATAAATCTATTAGTGATGGCTTCAATGCCAATAGCAAAGGTGCTATTACTTGCGGCCATTGGTTCCTTTCTTGGTTTAGATCACGTTAATATTTTGGGTGAAGATGCTCGTCACCATTTGAACAAAGTAAGTATAAAAAGTTCTGTTTACGTTGATTTATTGTGTGCATATATGATTTTTTTTTTTTCCCTTATAGAAATTTTATCATGTTTTGGTATGTTTAGGTTGTGTTTTATGTATTCAATCCGGCGCTTGTTACTAGCACCTTGGCAAAGACAATAACCTTTGAAAGTTTTCTTACATTGTGAGTATAATTTATGCATACATATACATATAAAAATTGGCGTAGTTTCAGCAATGATTTTGCATTGTTATGTACATAAACTTTGTAAATTTTTTTTTTTTTTTTTTTTTTGTAAATCATATGTTTGATTACTTATTGATTTAAAGAGCTAATCAATTCGTTAATTATGTGGTTGAAGATGGTTTATGCCAGTGAACATCTTTATTACATACCTACTTGGCTCAATACTTGGGTGGGTCCTTATCAAAATTACAAAAGCTCCAAGGCATCTCAAGGGCCTTATTATAGGAGCTTGTTCAGCAGGTAAATTCTTTGTGTGAATTATTATTTGCTTTTTTGTTTTGAGGATGAAGGATAATATATCAACTAAATATTATCATATAATTTCCTAAAATATAATATCCTCAATAGTATCCGCTAATAGGTTAAAATCCAGGTGATGATACCTACATAGTATTGGAGATCAATTCCCGTACATATAAAGTTTGTCCTTTATTTACCAATAAGGAGAATTTCCGACACATGAGACCTTTATTTATAAAAAGGAAATTAAATGGGATCACGTTATTGTCATTAACATTGGATGTTTTTTTAATATTCTTGCATCATATATTCATATTTGGTAGTCTTTATGTTTGATTCATTATTTGTGTTAAATTGATTGTGTGATAATAGGTAATTTGGGAAAACTTCCCCTCATCATCGTCCCAGCAATGTGTAGAGAAAAAGGAAGCCCCTTTGGAGATGTTGATGTTTGCCAATCATATGGTTTGGCATATGCTTCACTTTCTATGGCGGTAATAATAAAGACTTGTTTATTATTGTCTCAAATTATATTAATTTTTCTACGAACAAATATAATAGATCGACTAATTTAAAAGGAGCATATCTTCAAACATATATGTGTTAGAACACCGACTTGTTTCTCATTCTCCATCCATTTTCATATAATACGCCTTAATTTGAATTAGTAAGTTGCGCAACATTTGATATTTCAAAACTAATTATGCTAGCTATATTACACATGTATGTATTTCAGCTCGGGAATTTTTACATGTGGCTATACACATACAACATCATTCGGATATTTTCAAGGGACGTTATAGATGATGCAAATCACCCCGAAGTTGGAGATGAATCATTTGGAAACAACACAGAATTCCTACTTAAACCTACTGAATATTCTCTAATGACTCCTAACAACAAGGTTAGAACTTAATTAACTCAATACATCACTTCAATTCATCATAAACTTAATGTTGATTTTTTTCTTGTTTGTATGATGATAAATGTGTATTTGCAGATTCCAATGTCATCAAAGTTTCAACAATTGTTGTCCCAATTCTCAGGAAAGATCAATCTCAAGCCATTGTTTTCACCTTCTACTATTGGCGTGGTACGCTTCTAACCACTAACCAACTCAATTAATGCTTAGTCCAAAAACTTATTTTACCTCTTACCTAGGATAATTTTGACGTACAACTGTACAAGTCCCTTTTTCGACGTTGAGTAGGTTCAAGTACGGGTGGTACCTCTAAAATGAACAAACACTTTGGATAGAGGTGATTAAGATGGATTCAACCCGATTTTGGGTGGACTATGACATAAAAATTCAGTTAAAAGTCGGGTCGGGCTCAGATTGTTTTGGTGTAGGCCATTTATAAGCATTTAAAGCATATTTAGTTATTTTTTGGCCCAGTCCAAAATGGTTAGAAAAGCCATGTAGGCCTTTTACCTCAAACCTTGGCCCAACCCATATTAATGGGTTGATTCTTTAGCTTTTGGCTTACCCCTAACTCAGTCGGCCCATCCCATGATCACCTCTAACTTTGGCTGAGACCTAATTTTAGATAATTTAATTGATTTTAATATGATAAAATGTAAGTGGGTATTTTTGACATTAAAAATCCTTACAATTATATGATATATGTCTGATCGATCCGTGAAAGAGATATTTCATACAGAGTAAAAGTTTGCAACTCTAAATCTAATCGTCATCACTTACATCATCCTAGCCGTCTTTTTAAAATTAATTACAACATTTAATACTACTTTATTCTATGCTCATGATTGATTGATTAGAATTTCTTGATTGTTCAGCTAGTTGGATTTATGATTGGTTTAATTCCTCCTCTGCGGAAGTTGCTGATTGGTAATGATGCACCTCTCCATGTAATTCAAGATTCAGCTTATATGCTTGGGTATAACCGTATAACTTAACTAACGCTTTCTAGTCTCTACTCATCTTAATCCCCTTTACCATAATATATATGTTGCTTAATTTCTTTTTAATGAATACTCTCTCTGTTCGGAATTAATACAGGGATGCAACTATCCCAACCATCACGTTAATCCTTGGAGCAAACTTGCTTCTAGGTACGTTAAATAATAACTCCGGCCAACCATTATTTTCTAATCAATTTGTTTGAGAGTCCTCACACTAATAATATAATAATTTAATTGTTTTTTTTTCAGGTTTAAAGGGATCCCAAATTCAGTTTAGAATTGTAATTGGCATAGTAGCCACACGTTACATATTACTTCCCTTACTCGGCATCCTTATAATTAGAGGAGCTATTCGCGGTGGTATTCTAAAATGTGATCCCTTATTTCAGTTTATTTTGCTACTTCAATATGCAGTCCCGCCTGCAATGAACATAAGTATGTTATTCTAACCATTGAATTTTTTTCTTAAATATGTGCATTTGATCACCATACACCAATAATATTTTCTAACCATGGTAAACATATTCCTAATAGTAATACATATACTTCGTATATACGTGCATATCACTATCTGTCCAAATTTGAAATCCTATTCATACTTCCCTGTAAGTCCTAGAGACTAGAGAGGGTGGAAGTTTCCCAATTAAAAGTCTTTAGGACGTGACACTTGATATGCTGCCTAATGAGTATTTGTAAGCGCATGCTAAGTTTAACAACACTTTATTGTTGATAATCCTTAATGTCACGTTTTATGTTAAATTGTTGCAAATAATATAAAACGAAGATAGTAGGAATTTAATTACCACCTAATAATTTGTCGTGTATCACCTACTAAATATATGTTAGTTTATTACGTACGAGTAGTTTTTAATGGGCGAGCTTTGAAAAATGACAGGCACAATGACAGAGCTATTTGGAAATGGTCAAAGTGAATATTCGGTGATATTGTTGTGGACGTATGGTCTAGCTGCGGTTGCACTCACTCTTTGGTCCACTATCTTTTTGTGGCTTGTGGCTTCTTAGTAACTCTTCATTTTGAACTACTTTCCCGCTCACTAATCCACATATAGTACTACAACAAGGTCTACAACTTTACGGTTCGCATGTGAGAGGGGCAGAGGGCATGCGCTTAAAATATCGAAGTTATATTACTTCTTACAAGTAGGGGAAAAATTGGAGATCCCGGCCTCTTACAAATCCCGGTCAACTTTGGTTATGGATCCCCTTTATGAAATATACACTATCAAATGCTATACTTTTGTATTATAGATTTAGTGGTAATATACAGATAAATATATATACGTACATGAGTACTCTACATATATATTGATCTTCAATCTTTATAGAGATGTATCTAGACTAAATGCTAGCTACCTTAGTTGGTTTTATCTGTTGAATTTAAGTATTAGGATCAAATTTCATTTGGATTATTTGTCGTTCAAATTAATAGTGTTATGGGATTTTGGAGATGGTAACTTCACAAGCCATTTGTTAGCTGCATTCCCTATCTACTAAAATTAGTCTAATAGCCAAGAAGATCACCATCACTTTCCTCACAAAAAAAAAAAAAAAAAAAAAAAAAAAAAAAAAAAACCATCACCTTATAAATTATTAACCGCATATGCACACATCAATATGCGCGCATCAATTTTAATCAATAGTTGATAACATAAATGCTTTGTTTTGCTTTAAAAAATGATGACACGTAAATCAAGACATTTCTTAATATGAGACATTTTTTTTTTTTTGCCAAATTCGAGTTCAATTTAATTTGGATCTATAGGCCTAAAATAAACCCCAAATTAAATATTTAGCGGAATAAATTTAGTATGTAAATCGAGAAAAAGAAAGTAAAAAAATCAAGCCTACTTACGGCTACATAATGACAAAGTCACCATATGGTTATTAATGGTACTAGAGGGTTACAATGAGTAACTCTTTAGAGAAGAGGGTACAACTTGGAAAAGTCAATAATAGAGAGTATCCAAATAGAGTATGTACGTTGTGCAGTTTATAATTTATATGATTAATCATTTTTATGGACAATAATTGAGTAAGTACATATAGCTTCTTTAGTACACTTTCTGATGTTCTCTTGTATAAAGCTTCTTCTAAGTTAATAAACAATAGTATAGTCATAATTCCCATAAGCTAGTGAAAATTACACTAGTTGAAAAAATGAGTACAATTAATCTATTTGTAATGGCTTCGATGCCAATCTTGAAGGTGCTTTTGATTACTGCCATTGGTTCATTTCTTGCGTTAGATCGTGTTGATATACTCGGCAATGATGCTCGAAAGCATTTAAACAAAGTAAGTACTTCGTATATACTTAAAGATCATAACATATAACATCGTTTTTTGCCTTTTAATATAAGAAATGATGTTCATGTAGTTTTGTAACTCATGTTAATCCATTGTGAGTTATGACTTGTTTTTGGTATGTTCATCAGGTTGTGTTTTTTGTATTTGGTCCGGCACTTATAGCTAGTAACTTGGCAAAGGCCGTCACCTTTGAAACATTTCTCACTTTGTGAGTTTCTAATCATCTCTCCTTAACTCCTTTAGCTAATATTTCTATTTGATTGATTACTCTGTATAAATGATGTATTAAGGGCCTGTTCTGATTGACTGATTCGAGCTGAACTGAACTGGACTTATTGAACTAAACTAAACTTAACTAAAAATTTTATGAGAGAAGGAAATTAAAAAATGAACTGAACTTAACTGAACTGAACATAATCTGAAGAGAATAGACCCTAAATAACATATATACATCCGCTTCACTAAAATAACTACACCTGTATTTTTACTGTTTACGTACAACTTTGATTATTATCGAATATTTTCATTATAATGATTAGACCCTACGTAATAGTATGAGTGACTAACTTTTAGCAAGCCTAAAATTTCATAATTTGACCTCATAAAGTAGTATATTCCACATTATTTAGTCACTTGAACAATTTTAGCTCTAGTTAATTTTTTTTATTTGCGTAGTTAATTAGTTGTTGATTTTGTTTGTGCAACTATAGGTGGTTTATGCCAATAAACATCTTCATTACGTATCTAATTGGTTCCTTACTTGGGTGGATACTTGCCAAAGTGACTAAAGTTCCAAAGCATTTCAAAGGCCTTATTATAGGATCATGTTCTGCAGGTAAATCTTTACGTATTCGTGTAGAAAATTGTACGAATAGCTAGCAAATGATCATGAAATTAAACTAAGTTTTTTCGATTGCGCTGTTCTAACAGGGAGTTTAGGGAAACTGCCCATCATAATTGTCCCAGCAATGTGTAACGAGAAAGGCAGCCCCTTTGGTGCAGTTGATGTTTGTCATTCTTATGCTATGGCTTACGCCTCACTTTCCATGGCGGTACGTTTATTAAACCCTACAGGGCTCTTAATTTAAATCAAATGTACCAAAATCTCATTCGTCGTTTAACTAATTTAAGCTCACAAAGTCATGTTATTAGTACCATGCATAAAACATACAAGTATTTAATTAGATTTTGGGACGATATGACAACTATTATTAAAAGGAGACAGTAACGTACTATGTAGCTAGTGATGATGTTTACGAGTACTTATGTGGTTCAGTCGTTGAATTTCAGTTGAATGGTATATTTATCTGGGGGTACACGTACAACGTCATCCGGATATCATCAAGAGAGATTGTAGACGAAGTAGATCAGACATCACCAAACAGAGAACCTCTGCTTCCATCATCACAGAACAACCAAGTTAGAGCTTCACACCCCTTTAATAATTTTCTGTGAACATCCTTAATTTTGATGACAATTTCATATTTGATGATTATGTTGAAATGCAGAGTTCATTATCATCAAAAGTACAACAATTCTTAACTAAATTTCCAAGAAATATCAATGTCAAGGCATTTTTAGCACCTTCTACTATAGGAGTGGTATTACTTTAACCCTCAATTTTATGTTTTATCCAAAATCTAAACTCGAGTTTAGCTTGGTGTGACGTAGTAGTCCAAAGCTAAGCTTCCCTAAACTCGAGTTTTGCTTGATTCATTAACTACTACATTTTGATTTTCTTGCAGATAATTGGATTTATGATTGGGATGATTTCACCACTGCGAAATCTGCTGATTGGTAATGATGCACCTCTCCATGTTGTACAAGATGCAGCTTACATGCTTGGGTATCGGCTTTAACCAATTAACGATCTCAACTTTTCTAATCAGTTACGAGTAATTTTCCAACAAATAGACTAATTTACACATAACAAAATTATATTGCAGAGATGCAACAATTCCAGCCATCACATTGATTCTAGGAGCAAATCTTCTACCAGGTATAATACTTGACATAAATCCGGTTTTAACAACCAATAAGGCATTATATTTTATCAATTCACACAATTAGGTTGATGTTTTTCTTCAGGTTTAAAGGGATCTCAAATACAAATTAGAACTATTATATGCATAGCAGTTGTTCGATACATACTGCTTCCTCTGCTAGGCCTTGTTATAGTCAGAGGCGCAGTTCATGTTGGTATTCTACACATTGATCCCTTATTTCAGTTCATTCTTCTGCTTCAATATGCACTCCCACCTGCTATGAGCATAAGTACGTTACGTACCTTCACTATTTCATTTGATCTACATTCCTTAAATTTTTTACGGTCATAAATGATCATTATTAATGTGCATGAACGAACATAAGTGATAATTAAATTTAAGGAAAATAATAAACATACTCCTAAGGGCTATACCATTTAAATTTAAATCGCTCGATGGTCCTTAACTACCCAATAATTTATCATTTATCGTGATTTAATCTGTCGTATGTTACTCCGTATTAATTAGTGGTGTTATGTGATATTTGTAGGCACAATGACTCAAGTGTTTGGAAGTGGCCAAAGTGAATATTCAGTAATTTTGTTGTGGACATATGGTCTAGCAGCGGTTTCACTTACACTTTGGTCCACGTTCTTTTTATGGCTTGTGGTTTCTTAATTTTGTTTAGTAATCACCATATAATGTGTTCCTAATCAAAATATGTACCGCCATGCGGGGCCATGTGAACTAATACTTAATTAATGTAAGTGTTGTTGGATTAGTTTCAATATATATTATTAATATATAAACTTATTTTAATAATACGGAATATTTATTAACTTTTACAATTAGAGATATCATTGGTTGAAGGTGCTTTAATGTTCTCAATTTTTTTACAAGTCTCATTAGTCCTACACAGCTTCGTTCCTACTCTCTTCATAAATACAAGTATTTTATTAAACCACCATAGTTATATAATGTACTTAGTGGGCCGAATTCTGGCCCATCTATCTCTAATTTGCTCACGCTTAAAAGATAAGGCATCACTTTATTCACTAATAAAAAATATAAATTTTTTGGTTGTAGGTTTTTTTTTTTTTTTTTTTTTACTTGAAAAAAGATTGATTCATAAAAGGCATATGACAGATTTATAGAGATCGATATCAAATAAATAAACAATTGAATCAATTTAAAACATCCTTGCAACAAAAATTACAATCATTGTTACAAAGCATATATCATTCATAACCTCTTTCTTATTGTTATAATTTGCAATCTTCTTCGACGAGAGAGTCTATCAATCAATCAAATGTGTTCACATGATAGAATTATTTAATCATTGTACGTAGTAAAAATAAAAGAAATGAGGTACTTGATTTAGTTAACTAGGGCGGCTAACGTCGAGCCATAGCTTGCCATGTGCACCATAACTAGCCATGTTCGTGGAGGTCTTTTTGTTTGGTCTTATGTCACAAATCTAGTCATTGATATTTGATAGTTAACATTAATGGAGGAAGGTGAATATAAATAAATTAAATATTTTTATACACCTTCAAATCTTTGTACACTATATATTTATAAGAGTTAAGAAAAAAAAAAAATTAACATCAATGAGAGCAAATAAATAAACAAAATTTTAGGAATCGATATAAATCTTTACACACTATCCATAAGAGTTTGCTTGAATTTTATAAGAGGTAGCTAGGGAAGGAACAATATGTTTACTTCAATATGATCGGCAACATAAAACACATTATTATTATTATTATTATTATTATTATTATTATTATTATTATTATTATTATTATTATTATTATTATTATTATTATTATTATTATTATTATTATTATTATTATTATTATTATTATATGTTAAAAGACTTTAGGTAGGCACTTGTACCATACTCTTCACTCCAAAAAAAAAAAAAAAAAAACTAAATATTTAGTAAAAATATGTGTTATTTAGAAGAAAAAAAAATTTCAAAGGGTTTTCAAAAAAGAATCCGTAAATTTAAAGAACAAATACAACATTATATCTTTCGGGTATGTTCTCTTCAACTTAATTTCAGTTTAGTTCAATTCAGCTCTAATTAGTTAAGTTAAGTTAAGTTCAGTTCCTAATTTCCTTCTCTCATAAACATTTCATTTTAGTTCAACTCCAATCAATTCAAATCTGTAAATCAGAGCAGGCCCTTAATAGTTAATTTATTCATGTTTGAATGATGATTATTTCACATAAAAGTCCAAAACATAACTTTTAAATATAGATGCAGTTAAAAAATATTAAACAGTCAAGATAAGTTAAATTTATAAAAATTAGTTTTAATCGATACAAACTATATATATATATATATATATATATATATATATATATATATATATATATATATATATATATATATATATATATATATATATAAGGTTTAAAAAAACTGATTTGAAATACATCACTACAAAAATTACTTGAGGGGGGGGGGGGGATTTTAGAGCCACAAGAGTGGATGGTGAGTATTGATCACAAAATTCCTTGAAATTGAGAGGGAAACTTAAAGTACCTGAGCTTTTCCTCACACTCACAAATTTTATTACTCTACTTGTCTAAACTGATTTCATCAACTCATTACTCCTTTCGTCCCTTAATTATATGCCTATTTTTCTCTATTATGTGAGTAATAAATGAAAGAATTAAGCATATAATTAAAGGATGGAGGGAATAATAATTTTGAAAAGTTGATGAGATGAATAACACCTTAAACATATTTTAAAATATTGACCAATGACAACAACAATTGCTCAATTACCATTATCAATTTATCAATGAAGTTAAATCAACTACTACCTCCGTTTTTTTACTATTTGTAAGAATTGCAATGGTTAGACTTTTTTCTTCTCTAATTTATATCAAATCGTTACAAATAATATAAAATGAAGGTAGTACTATATACAAATGCAATATCACCATGGCACCAATCTAAAGTAAAGTAACGAAAAATTAAAACAATAAAGTGACTTCCTTCAATAGCAATTATTTTAAATTTTTTAAAAGCGAAAATTATCCTAACTTCATAACCCTAATATAAAACTCCAGTTAACTATACAAAGGAAAGTGTAAAAAGTCAAGGAACGTGTAAAAAGTCGGGCAAATATTTATATATTCTGCATGCGTATATAAAGCAGCTATTTCACCTAAATAAAGATACAGTATAATTTAATAATTAGCCAGTCATATCATAGACTTTTAGGATCAAAACTAAAATAAATTAAAATTATTACAAATTAATGGGAGATAGAAAAAGGAATTTAATTTGTTAATTTCACGAAAGTTGGGAGAAAATAAGGAAGATAAAATGGGATTAGTAGATTTGTTTGTGGTAGCATCATTACCGGTTGTGAAGGTTCTATTAATCACTGCCCTAGGCTTGTTTCTTGCTTTGGATCGTGTTGATATCTTGGGTGATAATGCTCGAAATCACTTAAACAAGGTTAGTATTGATTTATTTATTCTTATTATAGCTAGATTTTCGATTATTATTTGGTTAATGGAATATGTATTTGATTTATGAAAGGACGCATGCAGTTTTATTCAAGGCAGTGTTTAATTTATTACAAATGCTAACAATTGTTAATAATTAAATTGTCGCCCAAGTTAAAATACTTAATTAATGCAAGTATAGTATATGTTTGACTAATATTGTTGGTTTTTAGGTTGTGTTTTATGTTTTTAACCCATCTCTAGTTGCAAGCAACTTGGCAAAAACGGTCACTCTTGAAAGCTTTATTACCTTGTAAGTGGACTTTAACCCCTCTTATTTGTTTCTATCCCAATTTTCCTGTTTTTGAAATTTTGTTTTCTTTAGAATTTGAAGCACTTTATTAATTAATTAAATTTTCTATTTTAATTTTCATAGAATTTAAATTATTTATTTTTAATGTAGGTGGTTTATGCTTGTGAACATATTGATAACGTTTATAATAGGGTCAGGACTAGGCTACCTTCTTGTGAAGGTTACAAAAGCTCCAAAGCATCATAAGGTTCTTATAATTGGAGCTTGTTCTGCAGGTTAATTATATATGATTCAATTCCATTATTATTTTTTTTAATTTAAATGAGCATGTATGTTGTTCATAATTAATGAAAAAAAAAAGTTACAATTGAAAACAGGAAATTTGGGAAACATGCTTATCATTCTAGTCCCTGCAATGTGCAAAGAAAAGGGCAGTCCATTTGGAGCACCAGATGTTTGTGAGATTTATGCTCTATCTTATGCTTCTCTTTCCATGGCGGTATGATTATCTTTATCACTTGTGAAATTTTGCTATTATAAATATAGCCTAGAGGGGATAGTTGATCCTGTTCTACTCATTTCATATTCACTTTATTTTCGATTAATAAGTTCAAATTATAACTAAATTAAGTTCATCAACTAATGAATCCAATAAGGTTAATTAAACATATAAGCATAATTCAAGTAAATACTACCTCCGTTACTTATTATGTGCTACAAAAGAATATTTTATGTGTCATAAATAATACCCCTTTGTTGCACAAAACAAGAAACGGGGGTAGTAGTTTAATTTGATCTCATCCTATTCCCAATTTACATTTATGAAATTTGGATGACGTATATTGAATGATACTTAATTAAAAGTCATAATTTCTTCTCAAAAAGTCCATACGTATTAGATATTTAGATGAATAGTTTCATGAAGAATATTACAATTAGTCATTCGATATATTCATATATTGTGTATTAAATAGACCAAATGAATAATGGTGAAACAGAGGAAGTATTGGTTTTGTTATTAGATTACGGAGTATTTGATTTGTTAATACTATTTCAGATCGGGGCAATATACTTGTGGTTATATGTTTACAACGTTGTACGAGTCACGGCTAATGAAGTAACGGGAGAAACGAGTACAAAAATTAAGGAACCCCTTCTTCCTTCCAATACTAATTATGTCTTGGCTTCCGGAGACCATAATCTCATAAGTTCTTCATCGGTAAAATTCTTGCATTGCTCTCTATATATGGTTTTCCTTTTATCTATAGAATTCTGTAATTTGATGAACTATTTTGAATAATATAAATATGGACAGATTTCATTAACAGGTAGGTTAAAACAATATGTCATAATCCTGTTAGAGAAGATCAATGCCAAAGCCATATTCGCACCATCAACTATTGCAGCGGTACGTACCCTATTTAACACTTTTTTTTTGGTACATCTTGGTCTCATTTATTTTTTGAGTAAGTGTTACACATTTAATTATCCACACTTTGAAGTGTGGATGTAATATGAGCCCCCTCATATTTAATACTTGAAAGTGGAGAGTAAGTGAGATTTGAAGTCATGACATTTGTGTCATGTTGGCTCTAATGAACCAGCTCAGCTATAAACTAAAGCTAATGGTTGGGATCTGATTGATATACTCTATCATTAAACGCTCTTAAGCTCCATTTAGTGTACTTAAAATTCCCCCTTTGAAAATCAGTCATTAATTTTGTATTTAGCCCTTTAACAATTCATGTGTCATATGTTTTGAGAATTCTGTCATAGCAAATTGGTAAGGCATATCATGAATCAATTAATGTGTATCTAATGTAGGTACTTGGGTTTGGCATTGGAATGATGTCTCCAATCAGAAATTTGATGATTGGCAATGATGCTCCCCTCCACGTAGTTATGGACTCGGCATTATTACTTGGGTATGCCATTTCAATATTATACGCTCATAAAGGGGCACACTATTAAATCGATAATAAGGAGATAGAGATTGTTTAAGCCGTACATCACACAGTTACTAACCTAGTTCAATTCATAATATACAGAGATGCA